TCGAATTAATTTTTAACCATGTTAATAACGGTGAATACGATTTAGTTTACTTCATTTGCACAAGAGCCTGCGGCTGTAATTGGACCGAAGAAATTACTCTAACCAGGGTGTGGGAAAGGCTGCCTCGCCTGGCCTTCCAATAGGGCATTGTGATATGGTACATACATGTATCTTATGGTCCTAGTTCCCTTTTCAACCATCGAGAAACATGTTCACATCAATTCAATAGGGTTATTCTGCTAACTCTATAAGTGGTTAGTAGATACTATCACGGTCGGATTTGACGCCACGTCGCCGAGCCACGATCGGAGGGAGTGGGCTTGTCGGCGCCGTCGTGTGAGGAGGAAGAGAGGTGACACGCTAAAACACAACACCAAACTGCGATCAAGTGCAATCGCGGAATGGAAATGCAGAATAGTGGTAAGTTCAATTTATCAACCCGGGGTCTAGATCTACAGCCTACTCCGTGACTACATGTTATCTAGCGGGACTAAGTGTAGTAAGAGTGATTGCAAACAAAAGCAGCAAGAAAGCAAGAAATGGTTCGAAGTTCTTAGGCAAGGGAAGAGTCACTCGGGAATGAGTCCCCCTAGCTCCTTAGTTAGGTCAAAGTTGTAATTTCCTTTGGTTGATATACTGTTGATTAAATTGCGGAAGATCCGACAGTAGTTTGGAATCTCTTAAACTGACCAAGCCCTCTCAGACAGAGTACCCGGCAGACGACTAGTCTTCACGGGAATAAAACGCTGAGGCAATTAACACATAACTCTACTACTGGAATTGGGTTCCAGTACAAAATAGTGAATCGATTAACTCTCATATAACCAATTCACTACTACCGATTGAGGAAACTCTAACAACCTAATCAGATTCTATCCATCTCAGGTTGCAGCAGAAATCAAGAAAAGTTTATCAGGCTTCAATTGACTCAATAAAACATGCCTCAATCGATTATAATCACACAGTATATCAATCCAAAAGTCATTACATTCAATATACCTAACACATGGAACTAGGGTTCTTCATACCCAAGTGAGAGGGAGTTCTACTCCATAGAGAGAGAGAGAGAGAGAGAGAGAGAGAGAGAGTAAAACAGAATACAAAGCAGTCATACTCATAATGATGGGAAGAATCTGCTTTGGGAAGATAATCTTCACTCCAAGGATGAAATCCAAGCTTGATAGATGAAACCCAGCTCCAAAATCACTCCTAGGGTTTGTTCTTTGCACTCTCTCTCTCTCTCTCTCTCTCTCTCTCTAGGACTCTGTTTTTGCTCTGAAAGTTCGTCCCACTCTTCAAAGACCCGAAATTGTGTTAAAATCCAGAATTCCACTACCACACGGCCGTGTGGCATCCCCAGCTGCCCGTGCGAAGTCTCAAAACGCGGCGTTTGATTAAGTGGCTCAATGTACGCTACACGGCCGTGTAGAAATATTGCCTGCCCGTGTGAACTCTCTGGAAATCCCACATGGCCAAAAAGGGCCCTTACACGGCCAGTGTGGCTTTTCCCGCGCAAAGGGGTTCCACACGGCCAAGTCACATGGTCGTGTGGAATATAGGTCAGGTCGTGTGGTTTCCTCAGCTTTTCACCAATCGTCCCAACTTCGTCCAATCGACCCCGAACTCGTGCCCAAACCTTCCTTCACGTACTAGGACCTGAAATATCACAAATAAGAACAACCTAGCGTGAAATAGGCCTAAAACACGAGAGACGAGGTTCAAACAGTATAAGAATGGTGGACAAAAACATGTGTAAATATCGAATCATCAAATTCCCCCACACTTAACCGTTTTCTTGTCCCCAAGCAAACCTGACTCAAACTAATGCAACTCTCTAGACCTTTATAGAAACATGCAACCATGATCGTCGGTAGTGGACGTTTTAAGTAATTTAGCAGCTTACGGGGTCAACTGGTCTTCTAAGACGTCCCCTATCTCTCTCAATGCGAGTACTAGCCTCAAGCAAAGATCATGAGAAGCAGTGGAACTAAGACAACCAATTCATGGATAAGGAGACTCACACAATTCAACAACCAAAGACTCTTTGTATCGGGTGCTCTTTCATTTCACTTGTTGGAACCACCTTTCTCGCATTATTTGTTCTTTTTTTCTTTTTCTTTACTTCACTGGGGTTCCAACATCAGTTTTTATGCGCGTTCGGCCCTTATTAGGTGAGCAAGAGCAATTTTTGTACAACTGTCGCTCGCCAGAGTACTTCTTTTAACTCCTATTCCTCACTTCGTGTGGAGGGTCAATGAAATTAAGGGGTGTCAGAAGCTCTATCCGTGCCCATAAAAATACATCCTCGAGTAGGCAAATCGTTCAACGAGTGGAAATTTTACTTGTACTAGAGACAACTTAGCTTCACCTTGTAGGCCTACCCCACCAAGGATCACTAAAATCTCTTCCAAACCCGATTTTTTGCAATGAGCGGTGCCACACACGTTGGGCTTACCCCATGTCACAAAATTTCAAAGTTTTTGACATGGAGGACCAACTGCTTTTTCATTTCACATTTGAGCACCCTTTTTTGATAGACGAGTCCACAACACAACATAAGAGGAGTCATCAATACCACATGAATCAACGGTCCTAAATCCACTAGTTCAAAAAATCAACTGGCATAGCAGAGAGATGTATAGGAAAAATCTTATACTTCAACATCCAAAATAGTGCTACAACTACCTCCCTAGGTTGCATATCACCATAAAGACTGTCAATTCAAAGCATACTGAGCAGGGTATTGTAGGGAATAGTTGTTGGAGCCCTCAATTCACCAAATCGCACAGTGGACTAGGCTCCAAGTACACAAACTCATCTATGAAATCAAAGATAAACACCCGCCCCACACACACACACACTTAAGCACGACATTGCTCTCAATGGAGAAGAGGGAAAGATAAGTGGAACGATGTTACTGGGAAAACGGACTGTCGGGCTGGCGATGGGACCAATCCACAGAGCTAGAGTCATCAAAACACACTGGGTGGTAGAAATCATAGTTCCAAGTGGACAAATCGAAAACAAACGAAAGGAAAACAAGCCTTAGTGGGGTTGCCTCCCCACAAGCGCTTCTTTTACGTCTTTAGCTGGACGCAGAGGGTGGATGCTCAGAGTGGTGTAAGAACAGGTGCCTTCAAGAGCGAATCCACATCGCTCTTGAGGTACAACTTCATATGGTGGCCATACACATGACGGGTGTGACCACCAGCACTTGTCAACTCGACCTGGCCATCCGGCAGGATGCAAGCGAGTGAATACTCGGATGGCCAGGGCGGTCATGGCTCAGGGACCGGGACCAGCTCATAGTGGTCTCCAGCTTTCTTTTGATCGGGCTTAGCTATCTGCAGTTTCGGCCGCAACTCCTCCTTGATCTTTTCTTTTGGTAACGAGACGGATGAGAGTGGCGGCGCAGGAATGAGAGGAGACTCCTGCAAAATGGAAGGCACAGAATGATACACGACAGACTCATGCACCTGGTGAGAGACAGCATGCAAAGGCGATAAAGCAGGCATATTATTAGCAATAGAAAATGTTACATGCTCCTCGCCATCTCTCAAGACTATGGTCCCATCATGTACATCTATGAGAGCCTTGGCGGTGGCCAGGAAAGGCCTTCCCAGTATAAGGGGCACTTATGCATCTTCATTGATGTCCAAGACAACAAAATCCACAGGATAAAAGAATATGCCAACCTTAACCAGAAGGTCTTCCACTATACACCTAGGATGAACTACAGATCAGTCAGCTAATTGAATACTCATCCTAGTTGCACTGGGTTCACCTACGCCTAGTTTCTTGAATAGTTTATATGCTATAACATTGATGCTAGGAGGCACAACAAATACTCCGCTACAGCGGTACGACCAATGTGCTCCAATGGAACAACATTATCTTGCCCTTTCTCAAAAGGGCACGGTTGGAGTCGATTCGGCATTTTGTAGGCATAAAAGTCGATCGCCAACTCATCACCGCATTGGTGGAGAGATGGCGCAAGGAGACACATTGTTTCAACTTTCGCGAAGGAGAGTGCACCATCACGCTAAAGGACGTTTCCATCCTAACCCATCTTCCCATCGACGGCAAAGCGGTGTGTTTGAGTGATCATCCCCCCGAGGATGTTGGCGGTATGACCGGTTGGCAGCATTTCATCTACAGTGTTTTGGGGGTGAAAGTACCAATCAAGGGGAGCGTTGATGTAACGGTTGACAAAGTATTTTAGGGACCTTCACGATCCTGCAAAAAATGGGGTGCCCCTCACCAAGGAAAGTCTAGAGGAAGTGAAGGAAAGATATGCTCGTGTCTATCTCATAGGCATTATCGGAGGAGTGTTCTTCTCCAAGAAGTCCAACAATTTAATTAGTTGTGGATGGCTTAGGATCCTCCCTGGTAGTTGGGATGAGATGGGGGAGTTGAGCTGGGCATTCGCTTGCCTAGCTAATATCTACCACCATTTGTGCAATGCATCTCTCAAAGCTGTGAGGGAGGTTGGCGGGGCAATGTTCATCATCCAATTTTGGGTTTGGGAGCATCTGTCATGGATTGCACTGCTCAAACATCCTCACATCAATTTGGGTCCGGATCATCCCCTAAGAGTCGAAGCTTATGGTTGTAGGTAAACTTCTCATACCCAATCATTATTTTCATAACACAATTTCGTTTTTGTTTTAGCTTATTGTAGTTTCGTTATTGTCTTATTAATAAGGTGGGTTGGAGCCTCAACATGCAACAACCTTGCCGAACACAAGTTGGTAGAGTATCGGAGGAGGCTAGAGTGACTTTGGGAAGGAGAGGTAACTAGAATACTTCCTATTGTTATAACTTTTTTCATGGAGTACATGTATTTTTCCAATTTTGTTTAACTTAAGTTACTCATTTATTTTTGTAGATCATCTACGATCCATACCCTGAGAACATCGTTCATTGGCATCTCCAGCAATTCCCTGAGAACATCGGTCAATGGTGCACGAGGGTCCCTCTCATTTGTCACAATAACATGGAGTGGCACCTGCCAGATCGATGCCTCCGTCAGTTTGGTCGGGAGCAATGCATTCCTTTGGAGGTCCCCAAGAGTCAAAGAGCGTTTTACCACCGAGATGGTCGGCAAGGTACTCACGATTGGCCCAAGAAGTTCGAGAAATTCATCTAGGTGTGGGAGAACCGACAATCCTAGGAGATTGTCACTCCAACAAATGTGGGTCGAATGGGGTATCATGACCCATACATGGATAGATATCGGCAAACCTCTGTTAGGTACGTTACTCCCAATGGTGCGGCCGATGGGGCATTGGTAAGTAATTCCGTCTTATCAATTAAATTTAATGTTTTTTTCATGGAGGCATATCATGAGTTTTAGCTTGCTAACCTTTTTATGTGATTTAGGCTGATGGGGTCGAGCGAATCAAAGATTTGACCCACGGGAAACAAGAACTAGTCAGTGAAGAAGTGGGCTTGCTCAAGAGGATGACAAACAGTCTGCTTGGGTGTATTAGAGCACGGGGTCGTGATCATCGTAGGTACCCGTCCATGCCCGCAGCGATGCCACGCCCGGTAGTCGTTGATGTCCCCAACCCCCCACCACCATACGAGAGAAGGCAAAACAAGAAGACTCGGGAAAGACCCAACTTGCCCGAGATAAAGCCGATTGAGGAGTGGAGAGTGCCGCCCCCTTTGGTTGTGACACACGGTGGCGGTCCAAGCTCATCCCAAGATCCCCGCCCGACCTCCCATCATGATCCTCGCCCGACGTACCATCATGATCCCCGCCGGACCTCCTTAGAAACAAAACCTGCTTGACAAACAAAGGGGGGATCCGAGGATCGCCTTAAAACCTGATTTTCCCATGAAATGGGAGGGCTATGATAATCGCTTAAAACCTCATTTCCTTAGGCATGCATCTCTTTAGAAAGAGTCTAAAAGGTACCATTTATTTGATATAAGATATTGTTATTTGACAAAATTAAACAACCAATAGAGAGCTTACCAATCCACCATAAATTATCAGCAAGCTTCCTCCGCTTGAAATGGTGGTTCCAGTTGCTTTTGAAGTGTCGTATGCACCACATTTGGGACCAATTCCAGGCTCGATCCAAACCTAAGATGGCAGCTCTAATGCCGGCTTGCCGATCAGAGATTATTGTCAGGTTCCTTCTCCTAGTGACGTGGAGCTGAATTTGCCGGAAAAACCATCCATAGCTATCAGCATTCTCTCCCTCAACAATGGCGAAGGCTAAAGGAGAGACTTGTCTGTTTGCATCCGTCCCACTGGCAATCAGGAGAGTGTCCTTGTACTTGCCGGTAAGGAATGTACCATCCACTTGGGTCACAGGGACACAGAAGCCCAAACCATCAATAGATGGCTTGAATGCCTAAAAAAGTCGTCTGAAATGGCATTTGCTACAGGACTCTGGCGGTTGTATCTCTTCATCTTGCATATGATTCTTCCCAATCACCAAAGACGGCGGCCAAAGCTTTCTGCTTTCCATGCCACGCCTTCTTATAGTTAATCATATAACCATAACGACTTGCAATTTCAGCGATTATGACTTTCACCTTCAGGCCAGGATCTTGCTCAATTAGATGCTTGATAGCCGCAGCAACCACCCTGGATTTCAACTGTCGATGGCCTTGGGATGTTATGCATGCCACACATGTGTGTGTGTTCACCGCACGAGATATGACCCAATGGCCGTGTCTCTTGCTGTTGATGGCCTGAATCCTAACATTGCATCCCTCGTGATGATTACGACATCTGACTATGAGCCTTTTCGTGTTGGAATGAGTTGTGTGCCATTCAAAATGCCGAGTCATTGCTTCAGTATCAATGGCATGCCGCACCTCCTTCTTCAAGCCAAGTTGTTGGCCCTTCATAAACCCAGTGAGTGGACCCCATACTGGGACCTCTGGCGGCTCCATGTCGCTGTCGACACACCAATTGTCGTCTGGAATGTGATTGTAGTAGGGGACTGGTACACGGTCACGAGCCACCTCATCATCATTATTTGAGTATGACTCTGGTCCTGAATCATCAGCACCTTCAAGAGGGTCGGAGCTGTCTACACTGACGTTGTTCTCTCCTTCTTCATCGGAGGGGTCAATAACTGGTGCTTGCAGGTAGGGGTGGGCATTGGGTGGGTCGGGTGGATTTTGACCATACAATGCACCCACCCGCGCTTAAACGGATTGATAATTTTTAACCCACCACCCACCCACATTTAGTCTCGGGTTGGGTCGGGCGGATGGTGGATGATGCGGGTGGGTTTGTGGGTTCACCCACATTACAATATATATAATATAAAGGAGTCAACTTGACATGATAATAGGTGAAGAGAATCATCGAGGGAAACAAGAAGTTGAAATAGGGCGAAAAATGTCGAATTAGTTCTTAAATTGGATAGAAATTCTATTATGAAAGAGTTTTCTACAGATTGAGACGATTATTAGGTGCAAGGAACTAAGGAAAATAATTCCACAAAGGAAAGAGCGGTGATCTAGGCACAAGAATTAGAGGAAAAAGTAAAGGGAAGAAGAGGGAATCTCTATTTGGAAGGTTGGCTTTCAGGTTCAAACTCCAGGAGCAGTCCGAGTTTATATCTAACGTCTCCACTCTCCTCTCTCTAGCGCCAACGACTTTGATCTTTTTGTTGTCGGGTTGAGCGGGTCACCCGCACACTCACCCACAATCCACCCACCACCCGGCTGATGGCTCCCAGCACAACCCGTCATCCACCCACAGACCCACCCACTTAACGAAATTCGGGTCAAATGCGGGTGGGTCGGTCCAAACCCGCGGATGATCCGCCCGTATGCCCAGCCCTACTTGCAGGGCATCTTCCATCTGATCCAGCTCATGAAAGGCACCTTCATCAGCTCCATAATGTTAGTTGTGAAAACTACCGCTACCTGATTGGAAGTTGTACTCGGGTTGGTTGGCATGGTCCGGTTGAACTTCTTCTTCATATGATGGGAAGATTGATGATGACCTTCACCTTGCTCTTGGTACTGAAAATAGGAATCAGAATCATGGTAGCTTTGGTAGGGATGATCTCCATATAATTCACCTCCACCATGGATACTAGATGTTTTACCGTTTCCAGAATGACCTCCAACGCCTATGACCGCCTAGGTGTAAACGAACATCTAGGCTTTGGAAAGATTATTGGACCTCAAGAATTCGAGCATGGCATCTACTTCATCCTGAGTGGTTATGATATATTCCTCGTGCCACAACGAACCGCCTTCTCTGTTTGGATATCGGTACACCATAAGATCAACTCTTCTCGTGCCATCCATGCAAGTAACGTTAGTACACATTTGATGGAGGTCTTCAAGCATCGGTCTGGTAGCGACCTTTATTTTCTGAAAATTGCCACCGACGTAGGTGACCCTCTTTTCGGTCTCTTATGTGTAACCATTCCACCGTAACCCAAGCGTGAAATTTTGGAATGCCATCTGCAAAAAAAAACGTAGTTCAGTTAATATCATAAAAATCACAAATCACAATAAAAAGTAATACAAAATAAACTTACGAGTTAACGTTAATCGCAAAAACACTAAAGAAGTAGGGAGCTACAATAGAAAATTGAAAAGGGAGAAGGAGAGGTGTGAAGAGAATAGGCTTCCCGGGGCTGCTTTTTATAGGCAAAATCATCAATGAAAACCGCATGGGGAGGGTGCGGTTTTCATCTGCCATGCAGCCCCACGTTTGTCAACCTGCATGGCAACATGTTGGATGTCGGGAAAATGGGGACGACACACAAACTGCATGGGGGTGCGGTTTGTGTGGGCAAAATCGCATGTTGAGGCTGCGATTTGTATTGGAGAAACAAAACCACATCCCCAACGTGCGATTTTGCTAGGTCAGCCCAAGAACCGCACCTAGGCCATGCGGTTCTGTTAGGTCGGACACGAAACCGCATCGCCAAGATGCGGTTTTGGACCAGAACCTTAAACTGCACCTTGGGCGTGCGGTTTATATATAAACCGCACCTTGGGCATGCGATTCACATGTAAACCACACCTTGGAGGTGCGGTTTTAAAAAAATGGTGCTATTTTTATAATTTCTATGGGCTGGGTGCTATTTTTGTAATATTTTTTTAAAAGGTGCTATTTTTGGAAAAATCACGGAATGAGTCCCCCTAACTCCTTAGTTAGGTCAAAGTTGTAATTTCCTTTGGTTGATTTACTATTGATTAAACTGCGGAAGATCCGACAGTAGCTTGGAATCTCTTAAGCTGACCAAGCCCTCTTAGACAGACTACCCGGCAGACGACTAGTCTTCACCGGAATAGAACGGTGATGCAATTAACACAGAACTCCACTACTGGAATTGGATTCCAATACAAAGCAGTGATCGATTAACTCTCGTATAACCAATTCACTACTATCGATTGAGGAAACTCTAACAACCTAACTAGATTCTATCTATCTCAGGTTGCAGCAGAAATCAAGAAAAGTTGACCAAGCTTCAATTGACTCAATAAAAAATGCCTCAACCGATTATAATCACACAGTATACCAAAAGTCATTACAATCAATATCCCTAACACATGGAACTAGGGTTCTTCATACCCAAGTGAGAGGGAGTTCTACTCCATAGAGAGAGAGGAAAACAGAATACAAAGCAGTCATACTCATAATGATGGGAAGAATCTACTTTGGAATGATAATCTTCACTCCCAGGATGAAATCCAAGCTTGATTGATGAAACCCAGCTCCAAAATCACTCCTAGGGTTTGTTCTTTGCACTTTCTCTCTTTAGGACTTTGTGTTTGCTCTGAAAGTTTGTCTCACTCTTCAAAGACCCGAAATTGGGTTAAACCCCAAAATTCCACTACCACGCGGCCATGTGGAATCCCCAACTGCCTGTGTGAAGTCTCAAAATGTGGTGTTTGATTAAGTGACTCAATGTACGCTACACGGCCAGAATCGCACGGCCGTGTAGAAAGATTGTCTGCCCGTGTGAACTCTCTGGAAATCCCACACGGCCAAAAAGGGCCCTTACACGGCCAGTGTGGCTAGGCCTGCGCAAAGGGGTTCCACACGGCCGTGTGGAATTTAGGTCAGGCCGTGTGGTTTCCTCAGCTTTTCGACAAACATCCCAACTTCGTCAAATCGACCCCGAACTCATGCCCAAACCTTCCTTCACGTACTAGGACCTGAAATATCACAAACAAGAACAACCTAGCGTGAAATCGGCCTAAAAAACGAGAGACGAGGATCAAACAGTATAAGAATGGTGGACAAAAACATGTGTAAATATCAGCGATCAAGAGGGCCAGCTCGGGCAGGCCCAAGCCGAGCCATTTTTGGTTGGGAAAAGTGGGCCCACAATTCAACAAAAAAAAAACCAAAAATTTTCAAACTCAAACCCTCTTATCTCTCCCTCAACCCGCGTTTTCCATTCTCCCCACTCTCTCCAAAAACATTTCGTTCCTCTCCCTCTCCGTTTCTTCTTCTCCAGAAAATCACCACCAAATATTCCGAGCGACGGCGACGACGGCTGCGAGGTCGGGGACGG